AAGTTGAAATCAAAATTGATACTGGAGTTTACACAACTCAAAGTAAGAAGTCGAGCACACTCGGGTTGAACTCGTGTTAAGCCTAAATTCATCCTTCTGGGTTAGATTTGTATAGGGTCAAATTTTGTTGAGATATTTTGCTTAAATCTAAGAAAACTACTGAAACTGGCATCCATGTACTCCCTATTTCAAGCCATCTTTGAGTTGACTCATCGAAATTGCACCCCTAACTTCAAGCTATCCAATAGACTGGTGCATGTGGTTAGGAGTGGTGCATTCTAACAAAAATTACAAAAGGACTCAAGGCCCGTGGAAGTGACAACGTCCTCCAAATCTGCACCTTGTTGGTATGGATTCGACTTCTCCTCTTTCCTTAGTGTGACCAAAAAAAAAAATCATAGAATCAAAACATGGGTGGCAAAATTGGTAATACATTATGTGTTTCTCTAATTAATTCCTAATTGCATAGGATTGAAATTTTTTTTATTTTTTTTTTTGCGATAGGATAATTCATATTTATGCCGACTATTCTTTTAAACTCGAATATTGGTTATCGTAGTCCAAACAAATTAAAAATATGTCCCTAATAAATAAAAATAACTATTCCTTAAGGAGTATAAAGAATATTGAATCAGAAATTTTTGAATTATGAGGGTCGAATTTATCCATTGAACCACCCTAGGGTAAGAGGTTTGGAATTTGTAATAACATTGCTGATCGGCGAGTCTCATTTTGTTCTAATTACATCGATTTCTGTGCTCAAGTACCTTAATACCCTTTGTGACCTAAATTATCCACATGCTTATAGCCACGTCAGCCCTAAATAGAATCCTCCCACGTTTCCATTTCTCATAAGTCATATCCCACCACAAGAAGGGAAGTAAGTGATCACCTCACAGCCAACATACATCAAACTTTCTACCCTTAGTTGCCACATCAGACACTGTTAGGAAACGTGGCAATATATGATTAGACCGTCACCTAAATTTATTCAAAAAGACTGTGATGATAGCAATATTGTCTCTACCCGAATGACCGGGGCTATAGAGAGGAGCCACAAGAGTCCCGCTCGTTCGTTGGTTTTCGTTATAAAGCCAATGTCCACCATTGTGTCCACTATTGCTGTGGAAGGTTAGACGTATATAAGAAATCAAATACCTATTGTTTGCTCTTACCGGCTGCATAATATACCAAAAGAGATGGAGATGGAGATGGAGAGAGAGAGAGAGGATGCTGATATATGAACAAATAGATAGAAAAAAAGAGCACTCTTGGGCTTTGCCATTATTTTTTTTTTTTTTTTCTGTATCTGAAGCTTTCTAGAGAGGGAATAAAGTTTATACAGAAAAAAGATTTTGTGGGTATATATTTGTAGTGAGAGAAGATGGCAGGGATCAGCTTGGAAGGAATCAAGAACGAGAGCATCGATCTTGTATGAGCCTTCGTTTCTTGTCTCTCGTCTCTTTGGGTTCTTGATGTTATTTATCCTTCTTCTTGCTGTTCTTTCTTCCACATTGCATCAGATTTTTCAGATATTGTGAATCGAGTATATTTGTGTTGTTAATAAATCTATAGTGGCAGATCAACCTCGTGAAACGCCGGCATATTATTGCTAATGTTGCTTGATTAGGGTTTCTTCTTTTACCTTTTGTCTGACCTAAAACTCATCATGCACGTATAAATCAGTGGTTTCCACTACGACCTGAGTCCATTAAACCGTTACCATGGCACCTCCCTATTATGTGTTAATGGGTGATTCATTTGTTGAGTAACCTGGGGGCTGCTGTGTAAGAGTACTTTCTAAGAAATGCAGCATTTGTTTTATCATAGGTGGTCTTTATGTTCTGGTCACAGTTTCTGTTTGTTTGTTGTGTTTTCATGGTGCCATGTTTGGCATCTGTAATCTGCAAAGGGTGGCACTTCAATTTGTACACTTTATGCCATAGCAGTAACACATTTACTCATAAGGGAGATAAAACCAAGGCAATTTTTGATCTGAGAAACGCGAAAACTACTTCGATGCATAATGCTTTTACAATGACAGAGACTTACCAGGATTTTTTTTTTTTTTTACTTTATTTTAGCTTAATTTCTCAGCAATGCCATATTATAAATTCTCGTAATGAACTGTGAGGAACTAAAATGGGTCATGAAATTTCACTAATGTGTTGCGTGCTCTTCCCTTGATAGAACACATTGGAGAAACACGATTCTTGTAGCCGATCCAAAATAGTTGGGTTAAAGGCTTTGTTGAGTTGTAGTTCTTGAGATGTAGTCATTTTACATGCTCTTGTTAATAATAACTAGTTTGGGCATGTACAGAATGTAGAAAAAAAAGTTTGCACCAGAAATCTGAAATTAGATTAGATGAACTTAGTAGAATACTTAAACATTATTTTAGGCAATTAACTTGTATAGTGGCCTAAAGGGCATGCTGTGAAGGCATTAATACTCCTTAATCAGAATATGTTTTATTTATGTACAGGAAAGAATACCGGTTCAGGAGGTATTCGTGCAGCTAAAATGTACAAGAGAGGGATTGACAAGTGAAGAAGGGCAGCAGAGGCTCAGTATCTTTGGTCAAAACAAGCTAGAGGAGAAAAAGGCAAAGTTTTCTTTTATATAAGTACTTTTGATCTTCTTGTTCTGTTTGATAAGTAGACATAGAAAATTTGATGTTTTAATGACGACATTGGAACAGGAAAGTAAGTTTCTTAAATTCTTGGGTTTTATGTGGAATCCTTTGTCATGGGTTATGGAGTGTGCTGCCATCATGGCCATTGCTTTGGCAAATGGAGGGGTAACTCTCTCTCTCTCTCTCTCTGAAAATACCAATCTAATCTAACATATTTCTAATTTTCCAACAAACCAATACAGGGTGAGCCACCAGATTGGCAAGATTTTGTTGGTATAATGACATTGCTTGTCATTAACTCTACTATAAGCTTTGTAGAAGAAAACAATGCAGGAAATGCCGCTGCAGCGCTAATGGCAGGTCTTGCCCCGAAGACCAAGGTATATAATATAAAAGACTACGGCAAAACTGAAATGAGATACATGTTAGATTCCCCTTGAATGTAATGTGGTTCTGTTTTATGTTGCTAATTAAGGTGCTGAGAGATGGAAGATGGGCTGAGCAGGAAGCAGCGATTCTTGTACCAGGGGATGTAATCAGCATCAAGTTGGGAGACATCGTACCAGCAGACGCTCGTCTCTTGGAAGGAGATCCGCTGAAGATTGATCAATCTGCCCTCACAGGAGAATCATTGCCCGTAACGAAGAACCCAGGTGATGAAGTTTTTTCAGGCTCAACCTGCAAACAAGGAGAAATCGAGGCAGTGGTTATTGCCACTGGAGTCCATACCTTCTTTGGGAAAGCTGCTCACCTTGTTGACAGCACAAACCAAGTTGGGCACTTCCAAAAGGTAATATACTAACATCATTGGCCACAATGACAAACTTGGAATCATATCCTGGGGCCTTATGAAACACTAGATCATGAGTAAGTGGAAACCTCAGGAATGGACTTGGTTAAGAAAAAACTGACTTGCTTTGAAAGTTCATCAACTGTTCTTGACATTATATGGACGGAGGACAGAATCGTTTGAATTAAAATTGGGTTAGCATGCATGATGTAGGGGACATGATTTTATATATATAGTTCTTTAATTATCAAAGGATATGGCACAATGTGGCATCTAGTTACTTGGAAAGGTCCTATATTGATAGTTCCAATGTTAACCAGACAGTTTTCTAGTTTTTTNTTAAATTAAATTAAAAAGTTAAAATAGTCATTTATCACTTATGTTAATGTTAATGCAGGTCACCCATGGACAGTAACAAGGGGNAAAGGTCCTATATTGATAGTTCCAATGTTAACCAGACAGTTTTCTAGTTTTTTATTCTGCCTTATCTAACTTGCACTTGCTGGTGATGGTTTGATTAGGTGTTGACGGCCATTGGTAACTTCTGTATATGCTCCATTGCGGTGGGAATCATAATAGAGCTAGTGGTGATGTTCCCAATTCAGCACCGCAAGTACAGGAACGGGATCGATAATCTGCTGGTTCTTCTAATTGGAGGTATTCCAATTGCCATGCCAACGGTACTGTCGGTGACAATGGCTATTGGATCTCACCGGCTGTCCCAGCAAGGTGCTATCACGAAGAGGATGACTGCTATAGAAGAAATGGCTGGAATGGATGTCCTTTGTAGTGACAAGACCGGCACTCTCACCTTGAACAAGCTATCAGTTGATAGAAACCTCATTGAGGTTGTTAAATTAAACAGAAGTCGACATAATAAATAGATTGTTATTGATCTGAAGTTCGAAGATTGAGTGAAAACACTAAGATTTGGGTGTTGAAAAAAAAAAAAGAAGAAGATAAAACCGACAGAAAGAAGCAAAGTGATCAAGAGGTGCATGAAACATTTATTTTCATTATATTCATTCAACAATGGTGTTATGTAACTATGCAGGTATATGCAAAGGATGTGGACAAGGAAATGGTAATACTGCTCGGGGCAAGGGCTTCTAGGGTGGAGAATCAAGATGCTATTGATGCTTGTATTGTTGGAATGCTGGCTGATCCCAAGGAGGTAATGCCAAAGTTGAGATTTGATGCAAAAATTATTTAATCAGACTAGGGATGCCTGCCAGTAGCTCGAGCTCAGTTTTTCACTTAGCTCTTCAAATGGGCCTAACAACGGATAATCGAGCTGAAAAATCAAGCTTCATTGCTTGACAAGCTAAGCTTGAGAAACATAAGACACTAAGGACCAACTTTTTCAGATTAGGGAACTGTTTTACTAGGTTTCCGCAGCTCTAGTCCATTAGAATTCGACAACTAGGACAGAGAAATAAGCTATTTTGAGGAACTGATAAGCTAAGTCGTATTCCTGATTGTGAATTTAATTCGGAAAAGAAAGAAAATGAATCCGATGTAGTTATGGTTGTATGAGTAGGCTAGTGAACAATCTCAGTTCATCTTGCGAATGAGATTGGATAAACGTAGACAAAGCAGCAAAATTCTTTTTGCACAAGAGTAGGTGTAAGAAGCTTCATTCTCTGGCAGAGCAGTCATCTAGTCAAAATCAGGAATGGAGCCCTATTGGTAAAGCTATTACGTATTGGATGAATTAAATAATTTCAGTAAACTTTGTTTTACTCTAATGTGAAATCCAGGCCAGAGCAGGGATCACAGAGGTGCATTTCCTGCCTTTTAACCCAGTGGACAAGCGCACAGCCATAACGTACATCGACTCCAGTGGCAATTGGCACCGAGTTAGCAAAGGTGCACCTGAGCAGGTACCTACATCATTCAGTGAAAAAAAAAAAAACCTTTTCTTGCTCTAGTTGCAACTGATATATGCTTAATTATCTAAATCTCTACCAGATCGTCGATCTCTGCAATGTTAAGGAAGAAATGAGGAAGAAAGTTCATGCCATCATTGACAAATTTGCTGAACGCGGTCTTCGCTCTCTTGCTGTTGCTCAACAGGTGAACTTAAATTCTAGATTCTTCAGTGTTTTCATCTTATACTTCACTGCATAGAGCTCAAATCCTGATTGATGATATTCTTTTGTTCACAGACGGTGCCAGAAAAGAGCAAGGAGAGCGCAGGAGAGCCATGGATCTTTGTTGGTCTCTTGCCTCTTTTTGATCCTCCAAGGCATGATAGTTCAGAGACCATTAAGCGTGCCCTCCACCTTGGTGTCAATGTGAAGATGATCACTGGTGATCAGCTTGCCATTGCCAAGGAGACTGGTCGCAGGCTTGGCATGGGAACTAACATGTATCCCTCATCTTCCCTTCTCGGTCAGCACAAGGATGAGAGTATAGCTAACCTCCCAGTTGAGGAGCTCATCGAGAAGGCTGATGGCTTTGCTGGTGTTTTCCCTGGTAAGTAAACTGAATCCAATGACACGAGGTGGTTTTGATAAGTTGAGATCCACCGGCACTATCTGCAGTTAGAAGAAATTTTGGATTTGGGAGGTGGGGGTGCTTTTACATTTTATCAAAGTCTTGGGGCTGAGTTTCAAGAGATTTCACTGCAGAGTTTGGTTCAAACACTCAGAAATTACTTGATAAAATTCAATAATCTAGAAAAGGCCCAACGTATATGATTGGGATGAAAAGCAATTCACTATAACACCATATTAAATTATTTTGGTTTTTTCAAAAAGCTTATGCAAACCTTGCATATATGTCTTGACACCACTATGGGGTGGAATGCAGAGCACAAGTATGAGATTGTGAAAAAGCTGCAAGAGAGGAAGCATATCTGTGGGATGACTGGAGATGGTGTGAATGATGCCCCGGCTTTAAAGAAGGCAGACATTGGCATTGCAGTAGCTGATGCAACTGATGCAGCCAGAGGCGCATCAGACATAGTCCTCACAGAGCCTGGACTTAGTGTTATCGTAAGTGCGGTCTTGACAAGCAGAGCAATCTTTCAGAGGATGAAGAATTACACCATCTATGCGGTTTCCATCACAATCCGTATTGTGTTGGGTTTCATGCTCCTGGCATTAATATGGAAGTTTGATTTCTCACCTTTCATGGTTCTGATCATTGCTGTTCTCAATGATGGAACCATTATGACCATTTCTAAAGACAAAGTGAGGCCATCACCCATGCCTGACTCATGGAAGCTGAAGGAGATTTTTGCCACTGGCATTGTCCTTGGTGCTTACCTAGCTGTGATGACTGTGGTATTCTTCTGGGCTGCAAATGAATCCGATTTCTTCTCTGTAAGAAAACATCATTATGCTAAATATGCCTAGGATAATACAGAAGACAGACCTGTTCTTTGACTAATAGAATCTTTTCCATGCTGTCCCATTTGCTATCTCAGCTATGTAACCATTCTAATCCAAATTCATATCATACTTATTAATGACATTGGCAGGACAAATTCGGTGTAAGATCGATTAGGAACAATGATAGAGAGCTTACAGCAGCCGTCTACCTTCAGGTCAGCATCGTGAGTCAGGCACTTATCTTTGTTACTCGATCCAGGAGCTGGTCCTTCATAGAACGTCCTGGTCTAATGCTTGTGGGTGCCTTTATACTTGCACAGCTGGTTAGTTGCACATAATCACAGTTTCTTTTCCCTGCATATGTGTACCAAAACAATCTTGTGATGAATTTTTGCTTCTCTATTTTATCAAGATTGCTACATTTATTGCTGTCTATGCCAATTGGGGCTTCGCTAGAATACATGGAATAGGTTGGGGATGGGCCGGCGTTATTTGGATCTATAGTATCATCTTCTACATCCCCCTGGATATTTTTAAGTTCGCCATCCGGTATGCATTGAGTGGCAGGGCATGGAATAATCTGCTCGAGAATAAGGTAGATGATCAATTAGTACATTCTACATTATTCATTCAGGGAACAATGTTCAACATGTTTGTTTGATCACTTTCCCCTACAAATTATCCAGACTGCTTTTACAAGCAAAAAGGATTATGGTCGGGGAGAGAGAGAGGCACAATGGGCTTTGGCACAACGAACGCTACATGGCCTCCAACCTCCAGATACCTCACAACTCTTCAATGACAAAAACAACTATGGGGAGTCATCTGACATGGCTGAACAGGCAAAGAGACGGGCTGAAGTCGCGAGGTAATTATCATATTGGATTTTTGTTGGGGATTCAGATTCTGATTACAGGTTATGGTACTTATCTTGTTGCATTTTTTATAGTTTATATATTTCTTAATTTTGTGTTTTGTCAGGCTGAGGGAGCTTCATACACTCAAGGGGCATGTTGAATCAGTGGTGAAGCTCAAGGGTCTGGACATTGAGACCATTCAACAACACTACACAGTTTAATATTGCAACAGGCTGCTGACAGATTAGTTGGCATTTAGGAGCACATAAGTTGGAAGAGAGAAGAGAGAGAGAGAGAAATAAAAAAATTGTAAACTACTTTTTTATATCCCTTTACCTGTTCTTTTTCTTTTTTTGATTTGAAGGATAATGATGAAAGGGCAAGGTAATAATCCAACAGACGAGAATCGTTATAGACGATCCAATGTTGGCAGTAAAGATCATAGGAGTAGGACTAGATGGCACTGTTTTTAGTATGCAATATTACTTTAATCTGTCAGTGACATTTAACTTGTTTTCTTATCTTTATTAAAATGGTCATAAATTTTGATCAGCTGGCCGTCAATTTAAACAGCCTTTGTTCATCTGTTCAAGCCGCCAATGTATAATGTGAGAAAAATCAATTTAGCATTTTTGTTGTGGCTAATGGACATGTTTTTTCGGGAGTTCGAGATCCTTTGTTTCACAATCAGTCTCCGAAACTATTTTATCAGAATTTTCCCTCATTTCCAATCTGAATTCACTATGCCATCCCCTTGGCTATCTATTGTAAACATCCCATTCAATTGAGAACAATTTGATTATCTCCGTGCGGGATGAGATTGCCCCGCAAGAGTTTTTTTTATCATAACTTCATTGTTAAATACAATGGTACTTCTTTTAATTGGGTGACTACACGAATACACACTTCATCTTCGGCATCCTCCGTTGCGACCCATAAGGGGGGATTGGCTTACACTCGCAACAAGGTAGTTATAGGGAGAACCTATGGGCTGGATTGAACGGTGTATGTTGGAGAGAGAAAGGGGAAGAGTATGTGCATGCAGACCAACAGGCACCAGCTCTGTCACTTTAGTACAAAAGAATCTCTTCATACCCTGGGAGGAAGTTCTTTTCTTTGGTTTCNGTGTATGTTGGAGAGAGAAAGGGGAAGAGTATGTGCATGCAGACCAACAGGCACCAGTTCTGTCCCTTTAGTACAAAAGAATCTCTTCATACCCTGGGAGGAAGTTCTTTTCTTTGGTTTCGGGCTGTAAGTCTTTGCCAACAACTACTTTAGTAAACAGCAAAGATGGCTCCAAACAGAGCTGCATTACAGATTATTGCCTCTCATCATTGTTGAACCAATTCCTGTTCAATATAAATGCGATAACCATATTCTTCCCTATACCTGGTGTACAAACTGTCTTCTCTTTGACCCGTCTATACCGGGAATAAGCCCCTCCAAAATGAGGGCAATGTCTAGACCATATGCTATAGCTGTGAGTCTTGTACACTGGTTATGATCATTGACAAATATAGGTGAACACACTCGGGTAACACACGATATGCTTTTTACACCGTACACTTGAAAACCTTGTCANTATGCTATAGCTGTGAGTCTTGTACACTGGTTATGATCATTGACAAATATAGGTGAATACACTCGGGTAACACACTTGATATGCTTTTTACACCGTACACTTGAAAACCTTGTCAACATAATAGATAACCTCTAAGCTCATCACAGGACCTCATTTGGAAGCACTGTATAGATTTTAGTACAGATTTGCAAACCCACACTTAACAGGGATTGATTACTGCATTTCAGTAATGCACTTTGAAAACAACTTTTCTTATTAATCCCAACACTCTGAACACAAAAAATTCCAACTACATACTATCTGTGCTATCAGCATGTTATTCTGGTAATTGATCTTTATTACAAATGAAAAGATCAGCGGATAATTAAAATATATATGCTGATCTAAGCTTAATAATCAGAACCCCTTTTTATTCTTACGGTGTTTTGGTTGATAACCTGTATGCTTTAAGTACCATAGTGCCCCTTCAGCTGCATCATCTGCTGCTGTTTTCTTTTTTGACCGAGGATTGCCGATGCACTCCAAAATCATAGTTGAGGCCTCTCGTATCAAGATTATAACCTTGAAAGTGAACCTGCATAAATCTTAAAGTTATTTCTGTTCAAGTTGAACAAATGACAGTTTATAACTATTAGCTGCTTTATTAGAAGCCTAAGCCGACAAAGACAAGTTTAACTTCTGTATGCATTTATTTTAACATGCTCCTTATGCACTAGCCATCCGCGTGAATGCATTACAAGTAATTAAGAGACCCATGTGATTCACAACTATGAGAACCGCTGATACCAGTTAAACAACTATCATGTGGCCAAACGTAGATATATAGAAAATGTTGAGTTCTGAATTCTTTTAATAGACAGCACACATCTTAGGAGATAATTAGCTAAATTGTAAGTCAATGTATCAGACAATTTCATTTAAACTACTTAACAAATCTGTACTACTATTGAGGCTATGATTTTTAATTGCCTTTCACATACTGTGGCTATAAGTCAAGGCATGTTAAAATTAAAACCTGTCTTGGCTTGCCCAATTGTCTGCTCATACCAAAATAAAATTGAGAAAGAAAAAAAAAACTTGTATTGGCTCACAGTCCATTGGCCAGATATTCAAACTGTTTCCAATGAGAAAATTAATAGCACAATATTTCCAGGACCGATGATACCTAGTTTTATTACATCAACCTCGATAGCGTGCCTTGAAACAAACCAATTTTGGTTTTCTTGGAAGCAATTTCAAGCAAGAATGAGTATAAGTCCTAAAAGCAACTCTTAAGTGGTGTATTATTTTTTCAACATTTTTCGAAAAGCTACCAGCTAGTCATACTTGCTCTTTCTGGGAATCAATTCAACCCTCCCTAGTTATCTTCTTCATCAATTTTGCTACAAGTTAGAACAAAAGTGAGGACTTGTTTTCTCAGGAACAAAGTTGACTTACAATTTCAGGTGCCTTGGCCCTTCCTCCTTGCAACAGTCAAATATAGGGGGGTTCCAGTGGTTTGCTGCACAGATCTCATGTAACTGTGATTTTGCCAACCCCGTTTTCGGAGCGTCTAAGTCAATACATTACAGGGTTATTACAAAATATTCAAATCAAGTAAAGAATAGTAAGATATTTACAATTAGTCCGGTCAAACCACTAGCTACGCATCACATGGATCAATGTTTCAATGGCAGGAGAGAAAGATTTGACAGATTGAGATCGATCTCCCCAACTAAAAGTAAATAAATAGATGAATTAGAGCAGACAATATCTAAATATAATGAATCAATAACAATTACGTATTCTCATTTTTTTTACTACTAAGTCAGCATATAAGTTCCACAAAGCACGAAATGCTAAACAAAATCCAAAATAAGAAAGATTAATCAAACCTGAAACTGACATAAGGATAATATAAAAGTACTTGGATCTATCAATTGTGCGACCTCAACCCTATCAATTTCTTGCAATAATTATTCTATGCTGATTTATTCAGAAAAAAGTTTGAGTGTATTAGACTAAAGATTAGATAAAAACATGACCCAATTTTGGAAATGCCCATAAAAAAAAAAGAACAAAGAATCAAAGTTACAGCTTAAATAACCGCTATATTCTTGATCTGATTGGGTGTGTTTTCATGTGCTGAGGCAGACCCAAAATTAGGCCAATGAAACAGTCACCCACACTAATAATCTGTAGAATAGTCCTAAAATTAAGTTTATACCTTTGATAGTACTGGAGTCACTTGGATATGATTTAACCCCACTGGCAGTAGCTGTGCTATTGTTGCTGTTGGTAGTAGGGTTGTAGACAATTTCATCGGGAGAATCATCTTCTTTCTTCAACTTGTCTATCTCACTTGCATCAACTATGGCTGCCTTCTTGCCTTCTTCTTTGTCAGATTGTTTCAGCTGCATTGCTTCCTTTATAACCTGGCTAAACTACTCTTTCTAATGTCCTTATTGGACCTGGTAGACCTTGATCAAGAAAACCACAAACAGCAGATTTCTCAAAGACCCAATTTTTTGAAAACCAACAGCAAAGTGTTGGTGACTCTGTATGTGTTGGGGGTGAGGGGGGAGGGGTTGCCTCTTCTACCTGCCACAACAAAACCAATAAAGCCTGGTGGGTCTTAGAGTGGACACCTGGGAAAGGGAGGTGGAGGAGAAAGGTGGCTGAGATTTTAGTTCATCTGTTGTGAAATTGAGCTCTTCTACTCCATCAATCCTTTCAGATCATTTAACAAATACAGCAAACTTTCCAGGATCTGCATAGAGCTTTATCCTGTCTCTTTCTAACCTATTCATAAACGGAACAATAAACGCAAAGCTACTTACCATAACGAGTGTGTGTCGCATATGGGTGGAGTAGCAGAGTAAAAAATGGAGCTATCAAACTAAAGTCAATCATACCACAGAATGGATGGCCAAATATTTGTGGTCAGAGGGAGGGTGTCTATGGCCCGGATCGCTCACGATTCGGTAATTCAACCCGAAAAAAATAAACCTAAAACTCCATAAACTTGATAATTGACCCACTTTAACCCGAATTCAATATCAAAGCAGACTTGAGCCTACCCCCTACCCATTAACCCACCCAATAATTTGCCCGCAAAGAGTCGGTTAAAACCTCACTACCCAGGAATCCACCCCTCTGCCCAGCCAATGGGCCCGCCCGCAGCTACAAAGTCAGGAAATCGTGGGCACAAATATTTTAATATTTTTTTCTTACAATCAATATAAATAAAATAATAATTTATATTTAATTACGTCATATTTAATACTTAAAAATTCATTAAACCCAATAAACAAAAAATTAGTAAACATAGTATGTAAAAACGACGACAATAAAAAAAAAAAACTAATTACATCCTTTGACAAAATATAAGCNTTAAAAATTCATTAAACCCAATAAACAAAAAATTAGTAAACATAGTATGTAAAAACGTCGAAAATAAATAAAAAAAACTAATTACATCCTTTGACAAAATATAAGCCAATTAAAATCATCTAAAATTAATTCTGGTGAATTTTTATTCTTGGAAACCATTACATAACAATTTTATTATTCTTTATATATACAAAATTNGAATTTTTATTCTTGGAAACCATTACATAACAATTTTATTATTCTTTATATATACAAAATTATGTTATCATTTCAATATTTATCACTCATTCGATTATATAATTCAATGTACAAGCTATTTATGTTTATTATAATTAGTAAAATAAATGTTAAAATTGTAAGTAAATTAGCTAATATGTATATTATATCTTTTTTAGTTTTAGAAAGGATAAAATTATTCTAATTTATTTAAAATTTATCTAGATAAATACATAACATGTTCAAAATGTGTCAAAAAATTCATATTTATTTGATATAAGTGTACATTAATTAATGTGTCAAAAAAATGATGGATATAATTAAAAATATTTAAGAAATATTTAAAATACATATAGACAATATTAAGTAAAAAAATTTGAGAATGAATTCAACTTGGTTCTGCACTCAATGCGAGTCTTTGGTTTAAGTGGTGGTGGGCCAGATTTTTTTTGTTTTAAGTGGGTTTAATTTTGAAAAAAATGGAAGAGGGTATACCAAATTGATGTTAATTATAAAAAAGTACACAGGAAAAAAAAATGTAGAGTAAAAAAATNTAAGTGGTGGTGGGCCAGATTTTTTTTGTTTTAAGTGGGTTTAATTTTGAAAAAAATGGAAGAGGGTATACCAAATTGAAGTTAATTATAAAAAAGTACACAGGAAAAAAAAATGTAGAGTAAAAAAATACTTAATTTTGATATTTATTTGTCTCCAAGTATATTATTTGAAATTTTCATATATTCTTCTGACTTTTATATTCTCTCTTGATCTATACGCGTTTTTTTTAGAAAGTGGTGCATTAAACATATCCTAGTTTTATGAGAGAACTTTAATATTTTTGTATTTTTATATCCTCCCTTGATTCATACGTATTTTTTTTAAAAGTGATTTTATTTNTTCTTAATTTTGATATTTATTTGTCTCCAAGTATATTATTTGAAATTTTCATATATTCTTCTGACTTTTATATTCTCCCTTGATCTATACGCGTTTTTTTTAGAAAGTGGTGCATTAAACATATCCTAGTTTTATGAGAGAACTTTAATATTTTCGTATTTTTATATCCTCCCTTGATTCATACGTATTTTTTTTAAAAGTGATTTTATTTTCAAAGTATATTAATATCTGAATTTCATAACAATGAAATAATAACAGTATAACAAAATATTTACACAAAATATTGTACTTTTACATTTTGTTAAATATATATTTTCATATAATTTCATTCAAAATAGTTCATTTTTGTTTTAAATTTGTTAGCACATGAACAAAATCACTGAACATTTTTTTTGTTACACTATTGTTTAATGAATTTGTTACGTTTTTGTTATAGTGTAAATAATTTTATATTTCAAATTATATAAAAAAATAATTAACAAATTTTGAAATTCAAATAAAGTGATATATCATAAAATAAACGAAATATTAAAGTTCTCTCATACAACTAGGAGATATTTAATACATAAATATAATTTGAAAACAAAATCACTTTTAAAAAAAAAATACGCATGAATCAAGGNCATAAAATAAACGAAATATTAAAGTTCTCTCACACAACTAGGAGATATTTAATACATAAATATAATTTGAAAACAAAATCACTTTTAAAAAAAAATACGCATGAATCAAGGTGCATTAGAGATTTCGAATTAAATAACTCTAAATTTCAGCACTTAAGATAAATGTCTTATTACATTTTTTAGGAAATAAAATTTTATAACATGGGCATTTACGTTTTTATATCTCAGCTGTATATTTTTTTTCAAAATATTTTGTTCTATGTATTTTTTTACAATTATATCTAATTTAGTATATCGGCTTTCAAATGACCCATTAGTTTTTTTAATTCTTTTAGATGGATAATGCTGGGCCTAGTACTTTTGTCTTTGATTTTGGATAGGTGCAAATGATATATTATATAAATATTAGTAATAACTCGTGCCTAAAAGCACTGTNATATTTTGTTCTATGTATTTTTTTACAATTATATCTAATTTAGTGTATCGGCTTTCAAATGACCCATTAGTTTTTTTAATTCTTTTAGATGGATAATGTTGGGCCTAGTACTTTTGTCTTTGATTTTGGATGGGTGCAAATGATATATTATATAAATATTAGTAATAACTCGTGCCTAAAAGCACTGTATAATATAAAAATTGAGTACCCTAAAGAATCAAGTCAATATATCAAATAGCAACAATTACTTTTAAAAAAAATGAACAAAACCCATAACTAAAGACATTGGGCAACACAATCAAATATTAATCATATGTAATACAAATATTTCAAGCAGGGTGTCAACTTTGATCCATAGATGCGAATTCGACACAAACTCGACACGACATGATTAGAAAATTTACACAATTATTAAATACACATAATAAATGATTTACACCAATGTTTGACATTCATAATACACTAAGTATATATATTTTTTNACTCATAAATGCCAATTCGACACAAACTCGACACGACATGATTAGAAAATTTACACAATTATTAAATACACATAATAAATGATTTACACCAATGTTTGACATTCATAATACACTAAGTATATATATTTTTTTCGTGGATCATGACACTGACACGATACGATACGACATGAAAATACAGTACACATAAATGAGACGATATGACATGAATTGACACTCTTAATTAGCAATTTATTTNGGTCATGACACTAACACGACACGATACGACATGAAAATACAATACACATAAATGAGACGATATGACATGAATTGACACTCTTAATTAGCAATTTATTTTTCTTGTTTTTTTAGTTAACAACATTTTAAATCAATCTACATTCACAATCAATATTAAGAAAAAAAAATTGCAAAGTTTACTTTAAAGGTAGAACTCCAAAAAAAAATATTATTCTACGATAAGTCCTTCAGTACTTGAAGAATTTAATGGCCAATTTCAAATTGACACTTTGCTTACTTGGAATTACATAATTCGATTCACAATAAGATGTAAACTTACGATGCTAGAGCGCTATAAATTTCAATATTACCACAAAGAAAATCAATGTGATATCACAAAACTTGAAGACAAAGAATATTACTGTAAGGTCTTTCATAGGTGTGGGTTTTTGTGTGTGCGCGATGTGTGTGTGTGTGTGTGTGTGGTGGGTGGATGTGTGGAAGTGTCTGTTTGGTGGGTGTGTGAAAGTGTGTGCTGGGTGTGTGTGTTGTGTGAAAGAGAACACAAAAAACAAAAAAGAAAAAAAGAAAAAAAAGAGAAGGGAAGAGAGAGGGAACCTAAAAAGTGGAGAGATGAGACTGTGTGTTGGGTGCATTGTGTTGCTGCTCTCCATGGTGATGGGTCGTTGGTCGGAGTGAGAGTGGTGCGTGGCTGTGCGGGCAAATGGAGAAGAGAAAAGGACTGGGGGAGAGACATCGGGTAACAGAGATGAGAGAGGAAAGAGAGAGAATTGGGAAGGGTGTTTGACAGTTATTTATTTATTAGGAGGAAAAATGTGTAGTGTATAAAATTTTAAAATTATTTTCTGTTTTATTATATAGATATAATATATATACATAATAAAAAAAAACAAATTTTGAGGGAGGTACTTGCCCACCCTGGACTAAGCTTAACTCAGCCCTGCCTGCCCGCCCAGCCCAGTCAAAACATAGAAACAAGCCTTTCACCGTTGGAATTTGAAGTTTTAAAAATTTAGATATTATAAATAATATATTTTTTTATCATGTATTAAAATACACTCATTCTATTGCGATGCAGTTTCTCTCCTATTTATAAACAAAATTGTTCATTATTTACTTTTTGTCTATTTTCACTATATTTTTAATTTAAAAATATAATTTATAAAAATATTAAATTATAAAAATATTCATTATTTATAAATGAAATTATATATAAAAAATACATCCAATAGGCCCACCTGCAGGACCACGCCAACAGGCCCACTGGCAGGCCCGCCTAACGAGTGAGTGGGAGGTTGGACTGCTACTCCTACTTAACGTCTGGCTTGGCACACGGACAGGAGCTTGGGTCTATTCGATGCATGCCAGCCCAAAAAAAATTATTGGGCCGAGCCCATCCAAAACCATGAACACCCCTAGTCAGAGCATAGAGTCTGATTCCTTATCCAAAGGTTCAGAATTCGAGTGGCTGACCCGACCGGCCTACCAGTCATCGGCCCGATCATGAGCGGGCTACCAGGCGCCTTAGTTGGAACGGGCACAAAACAGGCCCAAAAACCTGATCGACAGAATTACGCGTTGACCAATCTTAATGGGCTTATTCATTTGTTTGGCAACCAATAATAATCTTTACAATATTTTTATTTTGAATAAATTATTATTATTTATTTAAATTACGTAATTTAAAATTAAATTGAACATAAAGAAAATAAGAGTAAATTAGAGAAGAGAGAAGAGAGTGAAGTGTGAATTAGTGAAATTTTCTGGTATTAAAGAGTGTATTGGTTTAGTTGTTTGACATTGGAAAGAAAATATTTTTGAGGTGTAAAAAATTTGGGAAGATGAAAATTAAATTAATCTTAACAATTATTATACTTTTATAAATTGAGAATTCAAATACTTACTTATAATATTAGATAAATATTTAGTTTATATTCATGCCATAATAAGACTCTTTATTTCGTAATTTGAATTATAATAAAAATATTTGTTGGGGCAAATCGGGCCAAAAAACGATGACCCTTCTGTTGGCCCAATGGGTTGCCCACAATTATAACACTACCCGGGCCAAGCAAGTTCAAGACCTTGAACAGGATTGCTATGCCAAAACATATATTCTTTCCAGGGGCAAGAATTACTGCTAATAGGTTTTTTTTTTTCTTATTCCTAATAGCTTTCGGATACAACTCTCTTCAGTAACAACCAGAGACTGGCCAAATGAGGAATGTGTGTGTGTGTGTGTGTGAGAGAGAGAGAGAGTATGCAAATAAGTCAGTGCGAAGAGACAACATTGCTTGATTATNGAGAGAGAGAGAGAGAGAGAGTATGCAAATAAGTCAGTGCGAAGAGACAACATTGCTTGATTATTTCCATTTGGAAGTTAGCTAAAAAATGTTACTAATCAAGGTTTTTCCAACAAATTTATTCTTCCCTTATGCTCTCTAGACTTGGCAAATAATCAAAAGGTGCTAGTCTCTAGGGAGTCTCTTTCTTTGTACTAACACTCTTGATCCTCTTCCTCGTTAGCTACCTCGTCTCCGATGATCCGAAATAGCTTGATGATCTTTGTTCCTTGCTCAAATCGTCTCTGCTGGTTTTAATCTCGACCCCTGTTAGCAAGGATATAAAGCAGCATGTAGAAACCAAACCACCATCATCTTCTCCTTCAGATTTTCCACTTAGACTGGTTCGAATATCTCGAATCATAGAAGGAGAATACCTCACAGAGAGTTTTTGAAGCTTTCGAATGGTGCCCGTGGGCACGAGGTAGAACTTTTGGCCGGGCATTAGGGTGGTGTCCGGTGCAACGACAGCCCAAGGCTGCTGGAAGACATTTGGAAGGGTAACACAACATCTCGGGTTTCGAAGCAGTATCTCAGCTGCATGAACAGGCCTATTGTGGAGCTCTATATGCCCACCAGGATGAACTATCTTGACATGCATAGTTCTTGGGTTACTAGAGCAGACCCAGCTTGAAAAGGCCATGTGAGAGAGAGAGAGAGAGTAGTGTGGAGGGATTAGTTAAGTAGATGCATTATGTGGATGGAGGCTGAGAATTTTCATGGCAGGCTGTGTAGATTTTGGTGAGAAATCCAAACTTACATTCTTTCCCACGGCTTGTTTTATTATGGGCCATTGATAATACCGTGAAGAGTATTTCATGTTCTAAATGATGGATGAATCATAGTGTTTGGACATTGTTGAAGGTAATTGTGTCATGTTTTGTTATGACAAACATGTCTTCACGTTTGTGTCATTCCCATAGTTGGGTATTATAGTTGACCAGTTGTATTGTTCAATATGATAATTTAGGAACAAATTAAGATGAATACCATGATCTGTCATTTGAAGATTACAAGAGGTATCAACTTCACTGACATCATATTTGTACTTTCTTTAAGCATATGGATAAAATTCTCCGGTATTTAAAATTATTTGGTGTGGTATCGAAAATTACAACTTAAATAGGTTAAATCATAGTCAATTTGGATCCATCCCAACAATTTACTATCAATCATAACGTTTTTGAACCCACTTTGCACTTGGATCCAACGGAGGGGTAACTTGCCAAATTTGGTTTTTGATCTGGTAGTGAATATTAAGGTGAAATGGAAGAGATGTCATCAAGATTTTGCATGTTGGAGCTGGTAGTTTGGGTTTCATTATTGGTTGAAATCTGCTACCAATTCAATGGGCTATAATGTATTAGATCTGCAAATAATGTCAACAAATTAAATTCAAATAATATTTTTTTTTTCTGAAAAATTTAACTAAGGTTTTTTTATTTTTGGCTGCAAACGGTTGGACATTTGGGAGCTATTGATGTTAACAAAGTAATAGAGATTCTCTAGGAAATCTGCAAAATCTTATTTTTGTTGTAATGGCTGATTTATCAATGGAAGTCTACACCCATCAATGAAAACTTCGAGGGACAATCAAAACATTGATTAAAAGAAGAAGTTGAAGATTTCATGGCTATTTATCAAACAATATTCTGATTGATCTTTGGGTGGTGTCACATTGCATACTTCCATTAGGTAAGTTATAAGTTGGTGAAGATCATGGCTCTTTGCCAATACTATTCTGATTGGCTCAGCTGGCAGATCCTTTTTGCTGCCAATACCAATTTTAACCCTAATTCCACTTTCGACCCAACAAGCAATGTTGCCAAAGGTTGAATAAATCATTTTTAGAGAAAATTGTTGACTTGAAGTCTCATTATAATTTATAAAATGTTTTGTGGTGACCGGATGATAATTAACCCAAATGTTATGGTGTGTTATTGCAATTTGTTGTATTTTTGTCTTCTTCTTTTTTTTTTAATCAGGTATTTCTGTCTTTTTACTTCATTTATAATTTAATAAAGTAAAATTTTCATCCACACTCCCCACGAATTGCCTATCTTCAATCAAAACCCTTGTATTGTCTAAAATTTTACTTCACTTTCTTCTTGTTCATGTCAATCACAACCTCTGTCGTGACTCAACATTACTGCTGATGTCATGCACATTTTTTTTTCTTATTACCTGTGGTACTCTTCTACTCATCTCTCTCTCACTCTCTGGTTACACGCAAAAGACTCTGACATACACACTCGTAAGAAACCATACTAACTGGCAATTTTTAATATGATACGAATCGAACGTAAAATTAATGATTCGGGTACAAAATTGAACTAGTTAATAAGAAAAAATGGATCAACATGTTTAAATACAAAAAATAAAAAATTATATCAGGTTCATATCAAAATCAGGTCAATCCGATTTTAACGTGATTAACCTGCATATTTAAAATGGGTTGACATGATTCAAACATGAATCCTATCTAACTCATTGTAGACCCGTTTAATCCATTTATGACAATATAATTTGTCTATTATGTATGACTAATGTGGTTTTAATATTATTACTTATTAGTTTTTGTTTTTACTATAATAATTGACAGTATAGTTCTTAAAATTATTATGACAATGTACTAATATAGTTCTTGTTTTAATTTTTAGGTTAAAACTTGAATGCATTTTAGTTAATTTCATTGATGAGATATGATATGCTATTGGTAAAAAAAATATTTAAAATTTTGGATGAAGGGTTAAATAGTGTATTTAATAGTAATGAACAAGTATAGAAACATGTTATGTGCGTTAAATAGATTGTGTTATGTCTGTTAAACAGGTTAAACAAGTCATATTACATGTCCTAACCTGAAAATGACATGTTTATTAAATGTGTCAAACTTGTCGAGTTTGGATAACCCGTCAAGTTAGTGTTTATATGGCTTAACACGATTATTAAACAGGTCAGATTCATGTTTTAGGATTTTTAACACAAATTTAAAATCAACCCGATACGAAACGATCCGACCTCACACATTTGACACCCTAATGACCCACGTATAACACACACCCAAAAGACAACTACACTGACCCACCAAGAAGATACTATCTCCACCGCCCGGTCCCCCTTGCACCACCACGATCTCCACCTATTTAACTTCTATATCATTATACGGTCACCAAAATGTTGCATCACTATTCTAATTCTATTTATAGTTTATTATTATTATTATTAGTTGTTAGATTGTATTTTAATGTCAAATATAGGTCATATTTAATTTTTTAGTATGTAATAATATTATGACATTATAATAAAAGTAATAATTTATAATTTAATCAATCGCTTTGACAAAAATAAAATATAATTAGATGTACAAATATTTAATAATAAAAATCTTACAATAAAATTTCAGTATCAATAAAAGAGGAAATGTCTAAACAAGTTGGGGAGATGCCTAAAAAATGACAAATTAGATACTCAAAAAGGAGTAAAATAGATTACTAATTCGGTTTTGTAATAATTGAAATAAAATTTAATTATTCAACATATAATTAATTATTTAATTAAATTACAAATTTCATTTAATTTTGTATAGAAAATATTTTTATTTAAATATTCATGCTATAAGTAAATACACATTTATGTGTGCGGTATAGTTTGTCAAATACAATATATAGGTAAATATTTAAGTTTTATGAGGACAAATAAGTAAAAGAGTCACTTCCGCTACTTCTCTTTGGGAGACAAACTCTGACAAGGGGTATCAGTGAAGTTTAAGATAATATAAGGAGTGTCTTTGAAGATAAAATATTTTGGAGGGGATGTGAATGAAGTTTTTCCTTCAACAAACAAAGCCAAAGTTTCTATGTCACCATTTTGTGCCTCTGAAATTTAACACACAAGGCATTTGAGGAAGCATATGAATTGATCTGTCTCAGTTTACCACTTCTCCGCGTACGAAGTTAAGGTTGATCACAAGAATAAATGTAGTATCTCTTAATGTATCCAAGTGCAGCCTCAAGAGTAATTCAAACCCATTTACACTATATGAACAATTTACTCTAAATATAATCCATGGTAATAATAATAATTGATCAATTATTTTAGCCTATCCTTATTATACCATGTTAATTTAGATTAAGATTTAGATGAGTAGGTCAATTGTTCTAATACTAATCTCATGTTAGGATGATGGATAAATGTGTAGAATTAAGTTAAAAGAGTAATACTATTAGTATCTAAAAATTTGATCTAATTTACTAATATAATGATGTGGTTTCATCATAACTGTTGGATTAAGAACAAGTTCTAATATTTGATTGGACCTCAATCAATTCAACAATGACTATGATGAATTAAGTCAATAAATTAGATTTCAATAACAATGCTCAAGTTAAAATAGATAAAAGCACCTTACATCAATTCATAACTCTCTAACCTATTGGGATATTCTTGTTATTTTATATACTAATTTCAATGATATCCGTTTAATTCCACCTACTATAACATATTGGTTTATAACTAGTATAGGGCGTTAGATGATAATTTAGAATCAAGGCAATATGTATGAACAAAGTCATTAAAACTGAGTGTTGTAATTTGATCCAAACTTAGTGATAGTNGGTAAATATTTAAGTTTTATGAGGACAAATAAGTAAAAGAGTCACTTCCGCTACTTCTCTTTGGGAGACAAACTCTGACAAGGGGTATCAGTGAAGTTTAAGATAATATAAGGAGTGTCTTTGAAGATAAAATATTTTGGAGGGGATGTGAATGAAGTTTTTCCTTCAACAAACAAAGCCAAAGTTTCTATGTCACCATTTTGTGCCTCTGAAATTTAACACACAAGGCATTTGAGGAAGCATATGAATTGATCTGTCTCAGTTTACCACTTCTCCGCGTACGAAGTTAAGGTTGATCACAAGAATAAATGTAGTATCTCTTAATGTATCCAAGTGCAGCCTCAAGAGTAATTCAAACCCATTTACACTATATGAACAATTTACTCTAAATATAATCCATGGTAATAATAATAATTGATCAATTATTTTAGCCTATCCTTATTATACCATGTTAATTTAGATTAAGATTTAGATGAGTAGGTCAATTGTTCTAATACTAATCTCATGTTAGGATGATGGATAAATGTGTAGAATTAAGTTAAAAGAGTAATACTATTAGTATCTAAAAATTTGATCTAATTTACTAATATAATGATGTGGTTTCATCATAACTGTTGGATTAAGAACAAGTTCTAATATTTGATTGAACCTCAATCAATTCAACAATGACTATGATGAATTAAGTCAATAAATTAGATTTCAATAACAATGCTCAAGTTAAAATAGATAAAAGCACCTTACATCAATTCATAACTCTCTAACCTATTGGGATATTCTTGTTATTTTATATACTAATTTCAATGATATCCGTTTAATTCCACCTACTATAACATATTGGTTTATAACTAGTATAGGGCGTTAGATGATAATTTAGAATCAAGGCAATATGTATGAACAAAGTCATTAAAACTGAGTGTTGTAATTTGATCCAAACTTAGTGATAGTAACCATTGCACTAATTTAATCCAATATCACCTCTTAATACCCCGACAAAACAAGGTTTTGCTTAATGTCAAGGCTTTCTAGT